GGCAGCTATAGAAATTGAATTAAATAAATAAATGAGAACAATATTTATGTCTGAATAATGCTTGGCATATTCTTCCCTTGGCTCCATTTCTACAGTTGATCCCATTTCCCTATCCTCACCCCAGTCATGCTAGGCCTACCGGATTTGGGCTGCCGAACTCCAGACAAATGGTTGTATGATGTACATGGTCCCAAAGAATTAAAGAAAGTTGTAAGTGGATTTTTATAGTCCAGATCTGGTAGCCCTAATTATGCTCAGATATGGGAAGCAACCCTAGCTTAAGAGGTAGACAGAGAACTCTATACGCTTTACTTGTACCTTTGTTACTGTTAATGTTAAACTTTCTGATTTGGAAGGCATATCTAGGTTTAACTTAATCATCTCAAGCAGTGTTCTCCAGCCTGTTCCCCTCCATGCATGTTGGACTACAATTCCCAGAATTCCTCAGCCAATATGAATGCTAGTTGCAACTTCTAAAAATTGTAGTTCAACACATGTGTAGGGCACCAAACTGAGAATAGCAGAAAACAGGTATAATCCATGGATGGATGTGATGAGAAGATAATGTGATGGTAAAATGATCTATACCTCTTCAAATAATGCATAGGGAATTATCTTATGAAATGCTACTTTGCACCAACAATTCCTTGAAAATAATAATAATAAAAAAAAACAGCATAGCAGAAAAAATGTTCTGTTTCAACTGATTCCCTCCTGTACTAGGTGTTTACGTTCCAAAAATGGACATTCACTCCTTACTTGCAGTCAGAGGTTGAGGTCCTTCTATCCTGAACCGTTTCCTCACCTCATCTAATTGGAAGAAATAACTGGTTGTGGATGCGAGCCTAACGAGAAAATGTTGATCAAACAAATTCCCATGAGTAAGGAAAACAATGTCTTGTTAGAAGCAGTCTGCTATACAGTCTTAATTTCTTGGAATAGTATGCTTACTAACATGCCTTCTTGCAGTGCAAGTCATGAACATTTAATGTGCACAAAGACTCTGTAATCATTCTTCACATTTATCCCTCAAAAGACACTTCCTAATGCGCTTATAAAGACTATCTCTGTTATGCCCACCAAAGAAAGTGGGTCAAATAGTTCCAGTGTCTTATACATTTTTGGTCTTAGTCTGAAAAGGCTAAACCAGGTGCAGCGGGTGTCAAAGATGTGCCATAATCTCAGATTTCTTAAAAAGGTTTCCAGTTTGGAGCAATTCACTCTTCTTTCAAGTCAATTGATGCAGAGCTGGATGTCAATTAGCTCAGAGGCCAAAAGTGATAGGCTTCACAGACAGGTACACTGACGTTAGCTTTGCCTACCAAAATAAAATATACTATACTTAAGTCACTGAATATTGTAGGTATTGGTTGAAAGATAAGAGATGGTGATTTGTTTTGTTTTGTTTTTCCTGCAAGAGTTTCTCAGCTATCAGGAGCCAGGATGACTTTATCTGAACCTGGCAAAGTGGAATTTCATCAATAGTATCTCTAAGGTGCACAGCCCACACGTATTTTCCCAGTCGTTCCTCAGGCCCCGCTATCAGCCACGTTCTGTTCAGCAATGGGTGAATCCATGGCACTCCAAATGTCCCTGAACTACAGTTCCCAGCATTCTTTTCATATTGGCTGATGCTGCTGTTAGTTCCAGTTCAGCCACATCTGAAGGACCACATGTTCCACCCATCAGTTTAATGTTTTCATCTTCGCCAATAACCTTGATGGGGAAGGCAGTTGGCAGATGCCCAGGAGATATGGATAGAAAAACAGGAGACTAGCTTAGACACAGAAATAAATCTCTGAAGCTGAGCCTGGAAGTTGGTACCAACTTCAAAGAACTTCTCTGCCACTAAAACACTGTGATTATTGTCTGGACAATATATTTTTGGACAAATTTTGTCTTCGCTGTTGCATCCAAAGTTCACTGCAAAGGAATGCTTACATGTTTGTACTTCTTTTCTACAGCTTTTTTACAGCTACCCATTCTTCAGAGCTGAAACATATCCCTAAGCAATCTTCTGTGTTGTCCTCCAAACACTTTTGTAAACTTTTGGTAGTTTGTATTTGCCAGATCTATGCAGGACTCCAGTTCCAAAGAGCAAAGGGTGATTTAGAGTGTGTGTGGACACACATATTACATTTGTTGGCCCATTCGTAAGTCACATTCATCTAATCTAGGAATAGATGCCGTTTTTTAAAGGAGTTGCTGACAAGTGTTACATGGGCTCCATGATCAGAAACACCTTTTCTATTCTGAATCCATACATATGACCTCCAGGAATTCACCAACAGCAGAGCACTCAACATTCAATAGCAACTGCAATAGAGGGTAGTATCTATCTGCCACCTCTGGCAACTTACAAACTGATATTTGCCAATATCTGACAAGTGACATGCAATAGGAGTGACAATCTGAGGAACAAATTTGACTGTAATCCTAAGAGTATATAGTCCACTTTATATCCAGCTTTACTTATTTGTGATTAAAATATTTGTACTGCGTTATTTTTTTTAAAAAAATCTTAAAACGGTTTGTAATTAAATTCAGTTAAAACTATTTACAACAGCATGGATTAAAACACTGTGTAAAACATACAAAATAAAATAAGCAGTAAAATAATCAAAATAATAACAGAGTAAGAGCAGAAAAAAAAAAAAACATTCAAAATGTTAGCGCAGCATTTCCCCTGTGAAAACAGTAGGATGCTGAAGTCAGTTTTTGAAATAAAATATGAGATCAAAATCCAAGTTTCAAAGACTAAAAATTCACCCACTTTCTCTTTTCCACCAAAAGTTAATTTCAGCTCCATCTCCATTTGCATGTACTATATTTCTATTTTGCTTTTCCTCCCAGGTGCTCAGGGAAGGACATGCGGTTTTCTCTCCCCTCCCCACGTTGTTCTCAGAATAACTCAGGCAGAGAAATGGTCTGTGATCCTCTCGCGAGTGTTCTGGCTGCGTGGGAATTTGAACCCAGATCACCCTGGCCATGCTGTCTTTCCAAATGTGCTGTTTAATTTGCTCTCGGCTGTTTCCATTGGCCTGTCTGCCCGCCTCACACCTACGTGCCTCCTCCTTTCTCGGCCGCAATAAATCCAAGAAAGAAAAACGAGCGGGCATCTCGCCTCTCTTGCCGTCAGAACAGCCCCGGCCTATTCAAGCAGAAGTGCAAATCCAAGCGGAGAGGTATTAGGAAGGGATGAACCCGCCCTGATAAATCCTCTCCATCCCGCGCTCAGCGAGAGTTTGCTAGGAGGATTAACCCACGTCTTGTTCTCAATCCCGGTTTATGAGTTTCCCCGCTGGCTGGGAGGATCCTGTGTGTTTAAACAACGGGCTAATTAATCCTCATTTTATTACTTTCTCTTGTCAAGTGGCTAAAGAGAAGCTGTCAGCTCGGTGAGCCGCCCCACTCGCGTTTGTTTAGCTCCCAAATTACTTCATCAGAACCATCTGCTGCGAACGTCTTGGCTGGAGTTATTGATTTCTCTATTCAAATGCCTTGCTATGCCAGGAGGCGAAGACATTAAAGAAAATTTTAGGGTCACGGATCCAGGGTAGTGCTGTTTGTTATTATGATAGGGGAAGAATGCCTGTCAATCTGGCCGGTGATGCTACAGACAGAATCGGTTTGCAAACCTCTTGGAATTAGAGAAGCAGGCAAACCAAGCGGTTCCTCAGGAATCCTCTGATGCCAAAACTGAGAAAAATGTCAGGAGGAAGGACTATGACACAGTCCGGGAAACACTCCGGAGAGGCACATTTTATCATTATGGATATCTGCTTTGTTTTTCCAAAGTGGCACGCAGTACTTCTTCATGTCCAATATTGCTTTAATTTTACTTTTTAAAAACATGTATATCCCATCTGATACGAAACAAATGATTGAAATGGCAGTGTTTCTGCAACTGCTTACAACGGTTTAAACACCTTTTAGTTGCACAAAAAGGTAAGCCCTGATTATTAAAAGAGCAAGTTTCAGCATCACCCTTATTGTTATTGCTGTTTCTACTGTTCAGACATAAATCTTTAGATGATTTAGTTCAAGCATAAATCTTTAGATGGCATTCTTTTCTGGCTGCAAAAGAAGGGAACACATTTCAACTGGAGTAATTTTACAGTAATTCTTGACTCCGAGTGATTGCAAGGAGATGTTCCAGGCACTTTTCTTGGTGACAGGACGGAAGTCGATTGCTGCTGCGTTCTTCCAGCCTGTTTTTCATCTTCCCGTTGTGGCCTACAGCCCTCGTGCTTCTTGGTGGTCTCTCATCCAAGCACTAGGAACCAGGTCCAATCTTCCTACGTTTTTCAAGATCCGCCATAGTAGACTAGAGGCTGCCACATAGCTGGACGTGTGCATTTTTAAAAAGCAAATGAATTACAGTACCGATGAGAGGATGGTTCCTTAAAATTGTTCTCCTTTATAAGTTTGCCCAGTTCACTGACTTAAGGCTAAAATATTAAGTCACCTTTCCTAGGAGTATGCGGCCTCAAATATTTCACATACCTACTAACAACAATCCTTATGCTCTTTATATTACAGTATGATCTGAATCATATAAACCAACTGGGATAGTAGAGGCTAATACTTTTGCTGTATTAATAGAACTGAATCATGGGATGAACTGATGGGATTGAACTCAACAGTGGAATGAACTGAACCGAACTGTGGAGTGCAAGGGAGAAGGGTCCCTTTCCCCCTCTCAATCTGTCAGTCAAAGTAGAACGTGCAATTGCACTAGGATTGTGACATGACATTTCAACCTTTTGCCACCAAATGGGAGATCATGTGCCTCCTATGGGCTGTAGGTTGCCTATCTACGTAATAGGGCCCACTGGCAAATCAGATGGAAAGTAAATTGGAAAAATAAGCTTTCATTTCAGGGCAGCTGATGTATCAACACAGGCATGGAGACAAGAAGTCTACAAATAGGCAGAGGGGAGCGGGACATAACAACTTCAGTCTCTTCATCAGCTTGATGCCTTATCATCTTAATTACTTTGCCCCAATTCTGCCCCCCCCCTTTCTGTCAGGCTGTTCCAGACCAAATGCAGCGGCTGCCTCAAAGCTGTGGCTCCTTCTGAATTCATCATGCGGGTGCTAGAGAACGTCTACCATGTCCACTGCTTCTCCTGCTGTGAGTGTGAGCGGCGGCTGCAGCGTGGGGATGAGTTTGTCCTGAAGGAAGGGCAGCTGCTGTGCCGCAGCGACTATGAGAAGGAGAGGGAGATGCTCAGTGCCATCAGCCCTGCGCCCACTGAGTCAGGTGAGAGAGGAGAGGGTTCCGCTCAGCAGAGTTTAAACAATGACCTTGAGCCTGTGCAGAGAGTGCCTTTTCACCATTCTACGTCTCATAGCCTGTTCCCAAGCATCTGAGGCCACTGAAACACACACAACACAAACACACAATGAATAACTAATCCTCTTCACCTGGCTCCTTATTTCCAATCAAGAAACCTTAAGTACAATCCAGAATACACAGCATCACAGGAGAAAGTCCCTATTGATGTCATGAGTTTCGCTTCCAAAGAGGCAAAATGCTAAGGTTCACTGTGCCTGAATTCCTATTTCAGTGATGTGCACAGATTGAAGATTTCCACTTTCTTTCCTTGAATTCTGTCTCCCCAGTTATAAGGGAGGGCAGTTTAAAATACAGCTGGACAGAGCTCCTACATCCTGCAGGAGTGGAAGGTTGTAAGAAGTGAAAAATGCTGGAAGGCTGTAAGAAGTGAAAAATGCTGCATATGCCAAAGTTTCTGTTCCTACACAATCATGAGAAGGACAGATCTGTACCTCCTTTCCCCATACATCTTTCTCCAGTTGCCATGGATACAACTGTCATCATCCAGATTCCGGGGATGTTAAGATCCAAAGCATCTAAGTGCCACCATGCTTCAGAACATCTGAATCTGGGCCTAGCAAAGTTGTGGTTGGGCACCTGCTAAGCCCTACATCTGTTCAGAGTACCCACTACTGACCCAAGCCAATCTCTCATTTCTGATTGGGGAAAGAGCCTAGAATCAGTGGAGCAGTTCTGCTTCTCCCCAGTCTGAAGCTCCAATCAGAGAAGAGCACAGAAAGTTGCTATAATGGACTGGGGCCAGTGGGAGGGAGGGAGAACACATGAAATTCATGTGTGAGGGCTTGCAAAACCCTGCGTCTAATCTTAAACTGTGCATCCTAGTAACTAATTGGAATGAAACAATCTGAAGCATGCATGTTAAAAATCCTTTAGACTCACACACCATTAGTAAACATACAAATCTTCATTCCAATAGAAGAGGAGGTTCTATTCTTCCATTCTCATGTGGAGGAAGTTGTAAGAGAAGTGGAATGCACAGGAAGAATATTTAGTTTATTTCTTGGCTTTGTCTTTGTTCTTTAAC